TGTGTGTGTGTGTGTGTGTGTGTGTGTGTGTGTGTGTGTGTGTGTGTGTGTGTGTGTGTATCTGTGTGTTCTTGTGTGTGTTCTTGTGTGTGTGGTTGTGTGTGTGTGGTTGTGTCAGTCTGTGTGCGTCTAATTGTGTCATTGTGTGCGTGTGTATGTGTGTATACTCGACTGGCACAGACGCAAGTGATTATAGGCCTAGAGCAGTTCTGCGGAATGTTACTTTGTGTGTGTGTGCTTGTGTTAGTCTGTGCCAGTGTACGCACACAGACACACACACAGATGCACATAGACACACATAGACGCACGCAGACACACACAGACACACACGTTGGCGATTTTGTGGTTGTGTGTTTGAGCGTCTGTGTTTTTGCACAAACTTATACGCCTGCAAGTGCTGCAAAAGTGTTAGAGATCTAAAACCACTCTTACCCATGCCTTTGTGTGTGCAGTCCATTCGCCACGATGAAGTCATCCCAGGGGGCAAGGGGTGTGAGGAAGGCGAGAAGTTCCAGACCAGCCGCCACAGTGTCTTCTCGGGGGCAGCCGGCGTGTTCCGGAGGGGTTGTGCAGAAGAGGAAGCCACCGGAGTATGACGTCGTTTCTAACAAACGGGGAGAGGAAGATCTTCCCCWATCGGGAGAAGGAGATGACGAAGAAGTTATCGAAGAAGAAGGAGAGTACGACGAAGCAGGAGGCGCAGGAGAGGAAGACGAAGGAGAGCAAGAGGAAGAGCAAGAGGAAGAAGAAGGCGCAGGAGAGGAAGAAGTAGAAGATGACRAAGAAGCCGAAGAAGAAGAAGAAGGAGAGGACGAGGAAGGAGGAGAAGAAGATCCAATGGAGGAGGACGGTAGTTGGCAAAAAGAGTTTATGAAGTCGAGGCATGTTCGCACCGACTTCAAGTTCTTCTTTTGGGTCGTGTACATCACAACCGGTATTGCTCTCCTTCACGTCAAGAGCAACAGCAGTGGCGTTTATCTCGAAATTGGCGAAATTTTATTTGCGATGCACGTCACAGAGAAATATATTTTGGCAGAGTTGTGGGTCGTCATTAAAAAAAAACTTGTCAAATGTCTTTTGAAGGGGGACAAATTAATGCCCATGAAGATGCCCATCGAAAATAGAAGTTTGTTGGCATTAAACAAGATGGGTTGCAAGGTAAATGCTTTAATCTTTCCTAAACTTCCCACTGCTTATCTGTCTTTTCTGGAAGTTTCACTCCGCTTCTTTGAAGTTGCATGCCTTTGACGTCCACAGCGTTGCTTACGCATGTAGAAGTCAAAGGACTTCATCTTTCTYGGCCCACAATCTCCAAGTTCCACAGCGTTCGAGGCCGGTAACTTCCACAGTGTTTGTCTCGTTGTTGGAAGTTATAGGCCTGTAACTTCCAGGGGCATYTGTCGCTTGTAGAAGTTATAGGGCTATAACTTCCGGCAACGGATGCGCASTGGAAGTTTTAGGCCTAGAACTTCCGTTGCGCATCCAATGACGGAAGTTATTCCGCTGCGCATCCAATGACGGAAGTTATAGGCCTATAACTTCCACTGCGCATCCGCTGCCGAAAGTTATAGGCCTTTAACTTCCACTGTGCATCTGCTGTCGGAAGTTATAGCGGTTTAACTTCTTGAGGCGACGGATGCGCAGTGGAAGTTACAGGGCTATAACTTCCGGCATTGGATGCGCAGCGGAAGTTCTAGGCCTAAAACTTCCACCGTCGCTTGTAGAAGTTAAACCGCTAGAACTTCCGRCAGCGGATGCGCGGTGGAAGTTATTGGCCTATAACTTCCGTTGCGCATCCAATGTCGGAAGTTATAGGCCTATAACTTCCACTGCGCATCCGTTGCCGGAAGTTATAGCGCTATAACTTCCACTACGCAACCGTTGCCGGAAGTTATAGCCCTATAACTTCCACTACGCAACCGTTGCCGGAAGTTATAGCCCTATAACTTCCACTGCGCATCCGCTGTCGGAAGTTATAGCCCTATAACTTCCACTTCTACCGTCTACCTTTCGCTTATTTAGTTAAAGGCCTATAAGTTCTCTGACACACTTCATCCACTGTTTCTTTTCTGTTGCCTCCAATGTGTTGCGCAACCTTTTGTGAAAGGACTTTTTGATTTTTGGCTGCCGAATTTGGACGAGAAACTTCTTCCTTTCAAGTGCGCAAAGGAAGAAAAAGAATCTCAAACTCCAATGACCACGGCGACCACGAGGGGTGGCTCGAAAGCGAGGTCGCAGCGCCGCAATGTGGTTTCTCYTGCTACCATTGTTGAGTCTTCTAGTGGTTTGGAAAGGGGATCGGGCACAAAGAAGATTGCTACGAAGAAAGGAGTCACATCTGGTCCGAAAGGGGAGGGGAAGGCGAGGGAAGAGGAGCTCCAGGTTCCCCAAGGTTTTGTGTCGAGCGAGCGCACAGAGGATTTGACGAAAACTTGGGAGGAGCTGAAGAGTTTGAAGGAGAAGAAACTCACGTATGAGTTTTTCTACCTTCCAATGAGTTGCTTGAAGAGGTTACCCCTTGTGAATGGGAAAAGACCATTGGAGGTGCGAGAGMCGGACAACGATCATGTGCAGTCCATCATGGACTCCATGCTGAAGCACTCCACAGGMGATCATCTTCCCTTCGTCGGCCTCGTCGACCCTGCCCAAGCCAGGCGCAAAGAAAACGTGAATTTGGCRAGGTTGAGAGCTTGCGACTACGACATTRTGCTTGGTGGCAACCATAGTCGGGAGGTGAGGGAGCAGTTAGCACACATGAACCCCGACAACGAGGACTACAAGTACAATGTCTGCTACGTTTACGTTGGCCTTACGCTTGACGAGGCGAGGCAGGTTGCCCACATGCATAACCTTRCGGCGGGCTACCACCGGGATTACAGCTTCATCGAGAAGCTCAGGTGTTGGCGTCAAGTCTTCGACCGCATGGGGTGCGTCGAGTCGCAGGAAGTAAGACTCTCTTGCCTAAAAGAAGCAATGATTACGAACGCGGTTAAGAAATTGAATGCCCAAGACCCGTTGCTGCAGAGTGCTTTCAAACCCAAAGAAATTTGGGAGCTCATGTGCAAGATCATGAACATGTGGCAGAAGGGTGAGGTCAAAGGCCAAAAACTGAAGCCGGCAGCGAAGAGCATCTTGAAACCGGACCAGGATTTGGAATCGAGCGAGTCGAAGGACACGAAAAAAAAAACAGCGTGGGAAGAGGCTCGAAAGGGCAACTGTGAAGGAGCAAGAAATGACCCTTCTGTATCCTCGGGTGCAAATGCAGGGTAACAAAGTCCCCATGGTCACCGAGGATATGCCTGCGCAACACTGGATAGTCATGGGCAGTATGGCTCCAGAGCATGCCGTCCCTATCCTCCTTGAAGTCATTGCGAAGCAGATCTCGCTCAAGAAGATGGATAAGAAGTTTCAGCTTGTCAAGCAAGTCGCCTACGTCTGCAAGGCATTCGCAGTGGCGTGGGTGCTGCTGACTTCAAGGAGGCCGAGAGACAGTTTCCTCTCCACACGAAGAAAGAACTTTTGGAGAAGTTCGCCGGTGGCGTCAGGAGGGGTCAGATGAGTATCCCCGCACTGGATAGCCATATTAAACGGGCTTTGGAATGGATGAACAAGGAGAGGAGACTTCAAGCAAAGGAGGCTCTTCATGCGTTCCGTTCGAAACCTCTCATTGAACCTTTCGTCGACTGGAGGGAGGTGGCACACGAGAACACCTCGTCGGAAGTGAAGATTATCAACGGCGACATGCGGTTTCTGTCGAAGATGCAGACAGAGAAGCTGCCGATATCTCTGGCTATTTCCGATTTTCCTTACGGCTTCGCTCACGAGGGACATGCATCTGATCACGAGCCGTTTCCGGAGTCGGACGTCGTGGAGGTTCTTCACAATCTGAAGGACGTCTCCAGTGCCCCCCTGTGGACAGTTGTGGGATTCTCCTCGGTGGACATGCTTCCTTCCATTCGCTCCGCCTTCCCGGAAGTTTGCAATGCAGGGCAGAAGCTTTTGACTTGGTGCAAGCCTAATGTAACGAATCCTGATGGACCCCGGCTTGTGAGTGCCACGAAATTCTGCGTGCTGGGGTATTACAGCGAGACTGGGCAGCGCGAGATGACGCACTATAATTTTGATCCCACGGATCCGCGTCACAATTTCCAGCTCTTCAATGATGTGACGCAGAAGTATCAACACCCTGGTGGTGGTGTCCTCTGCCCATACCAGAAGCGCTACGCTTTGTACTCGTGGCTAGTGAACAAGTTTTCTCCTGTTGGGGCCTGCATTCTGAACAGTTTCTCCGGTTTTGGCACAGGCGTCATTGTGTGTGTCAAGGCGAATCGGAATTGTCTCGTGGTGGAGATAAACACCAAGTGCGCTAAGGGCATCGCCACAAGGCTTTTGACCGACATCGGCGGCACACGCGTGAAACGCCAAAGAGGAAGCAAAAGGCATCGCAAGGCAGCCCACCCTCGAAGTTGTCTAGGGACGCGAAGTCTGCCGAAAATGAGCTTGGCGTCGACGGAGACACGGACACTGCTGCAGGAGTGGCTCAGATCGTCGGGTCATCTACTGAGCCTGTTGAACATGCTGCCGGGCAGGCCGGTGAGCAGCCACCTGTTTCTGGTGAGTCTGCTTCCGTGCCTATCCCTGATGTTGTTCCCGACGCTGGACCCGAGGCTGAGACGCAACCTGCGGCCGAGGCTGTTCCCGCTTCTACAAATGTTTAGCAGACTGTCCTGAGCCTGTCTCTTATACACATTATCCCTGATGTTGTTCCCGACGCTGGACCCGAGGCTGAGACGCAACCTGCGGCCGAGGCTGTTCCCGCTTCTACAAATGTTTAGCAGACTGTCCTGAGCCTCGYCATGAGCCAGGAATCRGACAGAATTACRGTTCGCGGCAGGAAGGGGCGCAAACGAAAGGCTGGTGGTGAAGAGGTATCGAGTCCACAGGGCGGAGTTACGATTAGCCTGAAGGCCAATACTCGCTCACGGACTACGAAGTGACTGAGGCGACAACATATCCTTTGGATATACGCCTATATGTCATGTGTGGACACGCACTTGCRATATAGGCCTATATTATATGYGTGGCCTCAAACCTCTGTCACTTTCGTATTCTGCCAACTCTCCCGTCTTGGTCGCGTCTTCTCCTTCCGCTTGTTCTTTTCACCACGTGTAGCCTCAAACCACTGATCGCCCGCGATAATGACAAAAGGTCCAGGAGCTGCCGTTTGTTGGCGTCGAATAATSATTTGCTTGGTAYATTCCGGCCAAAGAGCCGAAGYAGGATCCACAACGATCCATGTAGCAAGGATTGCGCCTCTCGCAATTGGTGCGAGAAGAAAAACCAAGCTTTATTCATTTACGGGTCTCCTGTTATCATCGCATGACCAAAATGAGGATTCGTGTGGTTTGTGGCCTAGGAGCTGCCGTTTATTGCTGTCGAATAATGATTTGCGTGGTGCATTCTGGCCAAAGAGCCGAAGCAGGATCGAAAACGGTCCATGTAGCAAGGATTGCGCCTCTCGCAATTGGTGCGAGAAGAGAAACTAAGCTTTGTTCGTACACGAGTCTCCTGTGGTGTGTGCTGCTTTGCCTGGATGCCTCCCGGATTGGCCACCGTCCTTGCGTCGTTGGAGGGTGTGCTGCTTTGCCTGGATGCCTCTCCCAGGATTGGTCGAGTCCCTTCGTCGTTGGAGCTGTGTGGTTTGACACATGGCTTCGGTTTTTGCAGAACTGTTACTGTGTAAACTAGGCTAGCTCTTTGCTTTTTAGGTCGTGGAAGTGGGAACCAGGCACACTCGGTTCGTGGTTCAGACCGCAGTAGGTCGATAATTTTGAGAGTGTCATCATTACTGGGAACCATGTGTTCCGTTGTACATTGTAGGCATTTAGAGGAACGAGGCCTGGGGAGGTCGACCCAGGGGCACTCGACACACGTGTGGTAGTTTTCGGGGACAGGGGGTACTTTAGTTTGCACGTGGAGTGACTTAGTGGAGCATTTATGGTTTAATTCTTTTGTCGGACTTTTCTTTTTTTTCTAAAGGTTAATTATGCTAACCCTCTATTTTGTTTTCTAAAGGTTATTTCTGATAACCCTCTCATTTTCATTTGTGAGTTCTCGTCACTTACCTTTGGGTAGACGACCACTCTCTCTCTCTCTCTCTCTCTCTCTCTCTCTCTCTCTCTCTCTCTCTCTCACGCGCGTGCGCGCGCGTGCACGCTTTCTCTCTCGTAGAAGGTGTTTCGGGCTAACAAAACATTGTTATAGGCCTATAACTCACTCTCTCTCTCTCTCTCTCTCTCTCTCTCTCTCTCTCTCTCCTTTCGGTAGTGCAACTCAGCCTGTCTGTGTCCGTTTTGGTGTTCATTTGAGTGTGTCGGCGCATTGCTCAACTGAGTATTCCTTTGGTCTGTACTGCATTGTCTGGATGCCTCTCTCGGGATTGGTCCTCGTGCCTGTGCGGTTGGAGCTGTGTTGTTTGACATATGGCTTTGATTTTTGCGAAAGTTGTCATTTTGTGGAGTGGACTACCTCTTTAGTTCAAAAGTATTGGAAGTGCGAACCAGGCGCAGTCGGTTCATGGTTCAGACCGCAGTAGGTCAACAATTTTGAGAGTGTTATTGTTGCTGGGAACCATGTGTTCCGCTTGGGGTGTGCCTAGCACGAGGCATGTGCACTTTTTGTTCAATTGCATTTTGCCCTCTGGGTTGTCTACGGCTCTCTCTTTCCCTCTCTCTCTCACACACAAGTTTTGGCTAACGAAAAGTGTTACAGGACTCTCACTACTTTTGCCCGTGCAGCTCTGCCTGTTTGTGTCCCTTTTGGTGTGCACGTCAGTGTGTCGTGACAAAACAAAAAAAACTATGTCCAAATTACTGTTATTCAAAGTAAGAGTTTAATTCAATTTCTGTCCTGGACACGGCCCGCCAAAGCAGTGAACAAAGTCGTCCCTCTCTCTCTCTCTCTCTCTCTCTCTCTCTCTCTCTCTCTCTCTCTCTCTCTCTCTCTTGCAGAATGTGTTGTTGGTCGAGATATCACAGATCTGTGTGTGTGTGTGTGTGTGTGTGTGTGTGTGTGTGTGTGTGTGTGTGTGTGTGTTTGTGTGTGTGTGTGTGTGTGTGTGTTGCGGAATGTGCTGTAGGCTAAACACAGGATTCGTGAAAAACAGAGAAACCAAAATGTTGGGTACGCATGCTGACTAGCAAGACCTTATAGCCCTATATCACTGATGTTGACATCACAGATTTTTAGCCAAGCTGACTAACAAGACTTGCAGCCGTGGGTCACTGATGTCGGTGTTGTCTGGCCCAACGAAACGTTGCCTTTCATAACTCGAGCCGGCGCATGTTTTTGTGTGCGTATTCGGTAGATTGTTGTTTGCTTTTCATGTAGATTATTTTTTCGGTGGCCAGTGGAGTGAGGGTTGTAGTACTCTAGGGCCACGTTGAGTCGATATTCTTTTTTGAAGGGTTTTGTGGGAATGTTGTTCGGGCAAAACGACGACGAGATCTGACAATGGTGTTTTTAGGGCCACGTGGAGTAGTTTCCAGTAAATCTTTTTTTTTTTCTTTGACTTTTTTGTGGGGTGCTGACATGCAGACATGTGTTCGAATGCAGATCAAACACAGGATTCGTAAAAACCCAACAAAACCACAAAACCCAACATTTTGTATAGAGTGAAAAAGTACAGGTCAAACTTCTATTTCTGATTTAAAAAAAAAAACACATTTTTGACCACTTTCCAAGAGACAAGGCAAAAAATCAGGCAAACAGTCAAGCGATCCTTAAGATGTAGAGGAAAACTCGTTCTTACAAAAATCCTATTATAGGACTATAAGTCATTCTCCATAGACTTCAAGAAAAGCAGAGCTAAAAAAAAAACGAACTCAAAAGTTGTAAATAAACAGTTTTAATGAATTCTGGCAAATAGGACTATATGTCGTTTTCAACATTTATAAACTCGATATAACAATTTTGAATTTAACAATAAAATATTTTTCAAAAAATATATGTTGTGCAAAATAATAACACAAACAACTTTTGTCACAGACACATCTTGAAATTCGTAGTCAAACGTAAGTTAAAAATAAAACACCAAAAAAAAAATAATAATAATAATATTAAAAAAAAAGAGAATATGTTATGGCAAACATATTAACAAACAAGATAACACGTTCGCACGTTCACCAAACCCTCGAACATGTTCGTTGTGATACACAACTTATAGCACTATAAACATGATCTTTTGAGAGAATAAAAAACATGAATATTTGAATTTATAAATATATGATGCTCCGCCTACTAATGATTTACTGTGAAAAATATTTTTTTTTTTTCTCTCAACTTCCAGTGGTTCTCCAAAAATATTTTTTTTTTCTTTTTTTGTGGTTTTTTAACATCGCAAAGAATCTTGCTCTTGTAGAAGACTTAAAAAACGTACTCTCAAAATCCTAAATAAATTTCGTTTAAACCCAACAATTTTTTTTTTTTGGGTTTTCACGAATTCTATGTTCATGGAACTTCACGAGTAAAACCACTTTCAACTCAATGACGATATCTCGAGGTCTGCGCCCTTAGAAAGAAAGAAAAACAAGAAGCAAAAAAAGAACTCACCACATGCACACACGCATATGCACATGCACACACATGATTGGTTGATTGGTTAGATGCATCAGCCTCAAGTACGCAAACACAGACACGCAGACATAGACACACACACAAACAGAGATACACACAAACGCACATTGATAGTCACACACACAAGAACGCAGGCACACAGACACACACAGACACACACAGACACACAGACATAAAGACACAGGCTTGAAGTGTCAAAACGTTTCCCTAGAACTATTAGAGGCTTTTAATCACTTTCGCCCGCGCCAGTCGTGTTCGTAATAGATACACGCACACAAGGACACAGTTAGACACACACAAACACACGGACAGAGACACACACAACGACACACGCACACAGACACGCACACCGACACAGACACATACGGGCACACTGACACGGTCCGTATCTGTGTTTGTATGTTTTTTTTATACCACACACGAACATAGACTCAGCCCGTGTCCGTGTTTTAATGTGCATGTGTTTATGTGTGTTTGTGTCTGTTTCCGTGTGTGTGTCTTTGAGTGTGTACACTGGCACAAACTAACACAAGCACACACACACACAAAGTCACATTCCCCATAACTGTTATAGTCCTATAATCACATTCGTATGTGCCAATCGAGTTTACACACAGACACGAGACACACACCACGACACACGCACACAGACACGCACACGGACACAGACACATACGGACACACTGACACAGTCCGTGTCTGTGTTTGTATGGTTTTTGTGTACCACACACAAACACAGACTCAGCCCTTGTCCGTGTTTTAATGTGCATGTGTTTATGCGTGTATGTGTCTGTTTCCGTATGTGTGTCTTTGAGTGTGTACACTGGCACAGACTAACACAAGCACACACACACAAAATCACATTCCCCAGAATTGTTATAGGCCTATAATCACTTTCGTCTGTGCCAGTCGAGTTTACACACAGAAACACACACACAAGTTCACAGTTAGACACACACAGACAGACACAACCATACACACACAACCAAACACGCAAAGGCACAAACCCACACAACCACACATACAAGAACACACAGATACACACACACAAACACACACACACACACGCACACACACGTACACATACACACAGACACACACACACACACACACACACACACACACACACAGACGCAACCACACACACACAGACAACCACACACACAAA